AGTGTTCGTTGTAATTCTGTAACCCTAATGAGTCCAGACATCCATTTATTGCAGATATAAACCTACATTGCACTGACACACACATAACATAAAAAATGCTTAAAAAGGTTGATGATGAAGTCTGTATACAGATACATATCATTTTTTGTGCAAGGCATTTGAGAAAATTACATTTAATTTTTATGTCAAATAGAAATTGCATTAGACAAACACAACAAAAAGAAAATTTCCAAGCAGCTTTTAACACGAACCATCAAATTTAATTGGAATCCTATTTGGATGAACCATGTCGGCAAATATACATGCAGTTTGATTTTAGGTTTCTGTTTTCTGATCCTTCCCTAACCTCAAAATGTCATTTTCGTAATTTTCCACAATTTAAAAGCTGTCACTTGTGGAAAATTATAATTTTCCAGTAGGCTTCATGGATGAAGCGGTATCATTACTGTCTTTGTTACGACAAACACTTTTAAAAAAATTAAAAAAAAATTTCATTATTATTGTAGTTAACATCATCATGATGATGATGACGATAATAACGAGAAACTTTACATAAGCCCATATAATTTCTTTCAGGTTGCTGAAATACGAAAACAGAAACCATGGACAGCTTTAAAACGTGGATGTTCCTTACGCAGTTTCAAAAATGAACCATACGCACCCTCAAACACTCCATTCCGGAATGTTGAAGAAATTTCTTTCTAACATTTAATGCAGACTTCTTTATGCCCTTTTTGTGTCCGATGAAATTTTTTTCAGACAGTGCCAGATCAAACACGCAAAACAGCCTGACAAAATTACTCAAATTACGTCGCAGCCAGGCTAACTCCTATGCAAGAGTAAGCTAAGCGCGTAATTCAGAAGCGATCTCCGAGGACGACTGTAGACGACCCGAGATGAGAATGTTCGTGAACTATACAAAAGTTTCAAAATAAATTTTATGTGTACACATATCCAGTTATAATCCCTAGTACACAAATTTAGGATTACGTATGTGAAAAAACCATTCTCTGTTCCACATACAAATAAGAATGCTCCTCCTACTATCGCAGTCACTTTTCAGCATGAGGCCCTCCGCGTCATCTACCTCAGTGCCTAGTTTGCTTATAATATTGAAGTCAGAGACAAAACAACGTGATATGAAAAATTGTTTATGCCTCTGTAAAATCATGTTACTTGTCATATTTCCACACCACGTTCGATTCCAAAAACTATGAAACGGACACATCAAGAAAATTATGTTTCTTTCGCAGTGAAGCGGTCGGCACTGACTATGAAAAACACAGATGTGATTATTTATACAGTATTGAAGTAGGGAGTGGATTTGTACTCTGTTCAACTACTCTGCCTTTATACAACAGCATCGAGAAACATCGAAATATTTTAATTACAGTTGCAGTATTTGCGCCTGTGTGCATGCACGTGTACATGTGCATGTAACAATACACAAAGTCACAGGAACAAAATGCGTTGAAATGTTCAGCACAGAGACGTGAGCTGTCCACACATTTTTATAATCTCACACGACTTCTGCTTTGCGACACTTGCGTGGGTCCAACAGTCCAACAAATTTACGCCCGGAGTTAGCAACAGTCCCCCGTTACACGACGATACCAATTTAATAAAAATTCCTAAAGCTTCTATTATTTGTAACAAAATTAGTTTTAAGACAACTACTGTCAGAGGACTCATATTCATCACTCGCTTTCCCGCACTGGCACCCACTTTTCAGTCAAAATAACTATTTCCCGTCTCCTTAATTTTTAAAACCGTATTTTGATCTGCCACCTTTATTTTTCGCGGCTTACTCCCCACTCGCTTTAAATTTTCCTTTATATACATGACCCACTCTCATCTGCTCCATCTAGTGATAAGAGGTGCTTTATCAAATGTCCCCCCTGTCAAACCGGGAAACCCTCTTTTTAGATGAAGCGAGAGAAGTCATCGGTCAGAGATTCTGCATATTAATCTACTGACAGACATCGCAAGAAACTACCAATTTACAAGCCACATTTTTGTTCCTTTCATCATGAAATTATTTAATTCGCATTAGTCCGCTCGAAGTACGTACGGACATACATCGTGTATCGCAAGGCACATGTACATGTACACACGCAGAAATGTATGGGGTGAGAAGAAAAAGAATAAATTAACATACTTTGATTCATCCAAAGTTAGAAAATGCTAATCTGTTCTTTGTTCGCTATTTCACGACGCAGGACACACAAAAACCCTAAAGAGCAATTTAAATATAATCTCGTAAATTCTGTACCACTACATTTAAATTTATACTTTGAGAAATCTATTTACATCTTTACATTTACAGTATCTATGAAATGATGTAAAGTACCAAAATGATCTTCACAGTTCAAGTTTTCTTGATACGACGACAAAGAAATCGTACCTATATTCAGTAAATATGATTTATGGAAACTTAACGTCAATCTGAATACGTCTCTTACGTTGCCCAGTGTACCGTCGACAGAACACAACACTAAACAAAAAAATGGCTGCGTACAATAATCTCAGACAGTTATTGTTAGAGCTGAAGTGGACGAGTGCAAAGGACTTACGCTTATGAGAAGTTACTAATATGCAAAATCAGCTCTGTTAATATTACATAATAATTTGCGGTGATTCTGCTACTGTTTGGGACCGTGCAGATAGGGGAAATGTGGGGAAACTGCAACCTAGCCAGCATTCCTTACAGAATCGCGAGGCTGTCGTGAACAGGGTTACTACGTTATTTATCCGAATATAAGAACTTCTCAGAGCTTTAAAAATGACTAATCGTAAGTAAGTTGTGGGAAAGCATTCCATATATATTTACATTAAAAAAAATTTCCCTCGCCCTGAAACTACCTGCGCAGAAGATTAAAAAGTTTATCTCTCGGCTGAAAGTGCTACATTATGGCTGGGAAAAATCCACTGGATCATCAAAAGTTTTATTATTGGAAAATAAAATATGTATACTTGCCAAAATTATAAAATCATAAAATTACAATGTTTCATAAGCTGGATTCTGCTTCCGTTTGCGCACCTGGGGGTGGGGGACTGTCTTTCTGTGTTTTCCCCCCCCCCCCCCCCAACCCTTTCATCCGAAGACAGGAGCAGAATCCATCACGATATGATGCAGTTTTATAATTTTGACAATAGAAAAAGTTAAAACAATTATATATTATAACGCACAATCATCAGAAATCTTCTGACCTTGACTGCGTCTTATATTCAGATAAATATGGCAGTAGTAAACTGATGATGGTGGCAGCAGTTACAGTAATGTTGATGATGATGATGATGAGAAATTGGGACACTTGAGGGAACTTCAGGTACTGTAGTTGGAGGACAGGGTTGTGTAATGTGTGATGCACTGGCACAATGAATGCAGATGTCACAGTTGTACCAACTGTTAAATGCCTGTCTCCAAGTCCATTTTCGCTGAATGTAACAACTGTGACACCGTGCTACTGCCTTTTCTAAGTCTCTTTACACTGGCAGTGAAAAATGTCAAACATCGTTAAAAAGAGCGTAAATGCCAACTTATTACACATAATCCGAACATATAAAAGTTGATGTGCATTATGTTGTAAACTTGTAGTAAAAGACATTTAGACCCTCCCTGTGTTTAACCCTTTCTACGCGGTTAACAAAACTTTTTGTTCTGTAACGTATATCACTTTAGAAAAATTCAGCGGTGGGCAGTCTGCGCACGAGAAAGAAGCGTAGCGACGAAAGGGTTAAAGGTCAATTTCAACAATTTTTAATACGCTCAAAGCACTTGCTCAAACTAGTGTCGAGTGCATGATACAATATTGGCACGGCAGTTGTCATACGACATCACTTACAGTTCTCTAATAACCACGTCGCTGCACTGGGTCAGGTCTCGGAAATTGCAATCACTTTAAACGGTAAGGAAATAAGAATTCAGTGACGTCTTCTTGAGCGATCAGCCATGTCAATATGAAACAAAATTCCAATTTTTTTATATATATATTATCTTAGTTGCTTGGCATCTATACAATATGAAGCAGACCACTGCTCTTTCTTCGGCTACTTCTCGGCCTATGCGGAGGTTCTCGACCCACAGCCCAATGACGTGTTTCGTGTAGCCTGATGTCACGTCCCTATTTACAATGAAAAACAGTCATACGATACCAGATAACGTGTTTCGTTAATGTCGTCAAAACTTGGCCGTAACATTCTCAATGAGCGACTGTCCAGCCAAATGAACAAAGTCAAATCAAGAACTAAGACGTCACAAAGACAAAGAGTCGGAGGGATGCATACGAATAGCAACGGGAATCAGACCCGATAATGAAAGATTATTCAAGCAAAAGTATCATCAAATATTTCACAAATGACTGGTTCCATTAAATAAAATTGTGAAGTAATAATATATGAGCGTCCCACGCGGTCTGAGGCATCATACTTCAGATGGAATGCGCGCTGGTTTGAGTCTCGGGGGAGAAGAAATTTTCTCATGAGATTTTCCACCGGTGTATGGGACCGGGGCCAACCCAGCATCGTGAGGAAATTGGGGAGCTACAATGAGTAGCGTAATCCTGTCATGAAAGCTAGCAATGGCTGGGGGTTCGTCGTGCTGACCACACGTCACCCTATATCTGGTTGGATGATCGTTCACCTCTGATTAGGCATGTGAACGTGAGGCCAGCAGCCAGCTAGTCGGCTTTGGCTCTCTAGAGCTGTTACGCCACGGATTATTTACAATAATATATGAGCATCTTTTCATTAATAGTAGTTTTAATAAACTGTCATGGTGTTTCAATAACACCGTGGCCCAAAAGTCGCTGTGAATGTTTCTACAGTCCTGAACGAGGTTGAGAACCAACGTTACGCAAGAATATATATCAGCCAATTTGCGTTACCAGTCACTGCATCCATGTACAGTCTGTAACCAGTTTTTATTTTGCGTCGATATGACCGATCACCAGAGAAAACGTCACTGCATGCAGATCCTCAAAGAATGGCAACACTTCTCGTCAGGTACGGCACGTTAAGGATTCAAATTATGTTTATTTACAAAAAAGAAAAAAAAGATAAACACATTGTACAACATTACCTGGTTTGGGTAGAGGAGAAGTATCTCCTTTCCGATCTAACACTGAACTTATTGACAAGAACGGGGTGAAGGGCTTGATGCATGCAACACGTGCAGAAAGAACGACGGTGCGTCTTCCATACTGTACATAAGCGAATTCTGTTCTGATGACACGATATGCAAATATGGCATTTGGCAGTAAAAAGGCATCGAAGCCTCATATTGCTTACGCGGCATGCATGGCCCAGATCCCAAACTTTACGGTTCACTATCAAGAACAAGGATGGACAAAATACGAGACAGGGGAATTCCTCTCGTGCGAGAACATGACGACGTGACCGACGCAGCCTGTGAAGTAAGCGATTCACATGCGGGATTTTCCGATGCGGAGACGCGGCTCAAGAAAGACGGAATGTAATAAAAAAAAAAATTCTACCGGGATGTTATGCTACAGCGTAACTCGTCTCACTTCACACGCTAGTCAACGGGCACCCCCGAAAGAACGGTCGTGTTTTGCGACTGCCACAATTACAAGTCAAGACGACATAACCCCGCGTTGACAGTGGGGCTACGCCATTATTTACAAGCAGCATAACATTTATACCATTAGATCCAGGAAAGGAAATATCTTAAAGAGTATTTGCATATTTTCTGCCAGTTGCATTATTAATAGCCCTTTATCTATTACTCGTTTGTTTTTTGTTTTATATATTTTTACATTTATGTATGGTTGCGGGTTGAACAGACTGCGTTTTCGCGCGCAGATGACTTGAGATCACAAACGAATGTTCATAACGACGCAACAGATGCTGAGATGAGTCAACTACTTCAGTTCATGGAGGAGGGATAGAAAATGTTGAAGCCTCGAAACCAGCACACCAAATATACACTAATTACATTTGCAATTATGAAAAAAAAAAAAAAATGAATGTACATTGTATATATTCAACAGTGCTGAAAAAAATACAGCACCTAAACATTTTGTACTTTCAAATTGATAAAAATATTCGCCAGTGGTAGATTTTAACCTGCCCATGTTTCTCCTTCTAAGCTAGCTATCCACAATGACAAAGCTTTATTTCAACCAAAAAAAGTTAGGCACTGCATCGCACCGCCATTCGTCGTACGTACGAGTGTCGCCGTCTGCCATCAGCATCTCTAAACAATCGACCAGCTGGCAGTACAAATTAAATATACAAAAGCATCTCATCTTTACATAGTACGTACAAAACATGGCCCTCCTCCTCTTCCACTTCGGTCCTCGCGCGCCTTCGACGTGGCACTCCGGGAGACGCGGCCCAGCACGAAACGAACACTGATGAGCAATAATGATCAAGACATCTTGAGCCAAGATGATCCATCTTTTCGACTGACCGATTCATTCGGAACTGAGGGGTTCTGACTTGATAAAAAGGGGGACAACGGGTGGTGACGAGGTGATCACGGATACTGGGCTCCCTCCGCTGCTGCTTCTGCTCGGCTCTCTCGCGCGCCAACCCAGGCTTCCACCAGGCAAGTTTACCGCCTCGCTGCGAACGGTACGTATCTCTTTCTCCGCTGTCACCAGTTTTTCTTGGAAAGCGTCCGGATCTCGCTGTAAAAATATTGCACAGACCATTACAAACAGGCTGTTCCCTAATGTCACTTACTGGGACTTAAGATGCGAGATTTGAGGTTTTTTCACAGTGGCGAGTATAAAGGTAACAGTCTTCTGGGATGTACAGAAATTTATAAAAGTTTCAGGGGTACTTCCTGCCTCGATCAGACTACACAGCATAACATCCCAGAAGACATTTGCCTTCGGTGCGGAAGATACCGAAGGAAAGTACGTACCCTGATTCTACCCAAAAGACAGAAATTACATAAGAGAGACCGAACACACGCCCTACTACTGACACGTCTTTCTTGAAACGTACGGCGCGTAATGCGATTAATGTACCAGAGATCAGGGACAGTGCCATTATGATAGGTTTTGTACCTTAATAGGGCTGTCCTCCTGGTGCAAGCGACGCTGCAGCTCAGCAATGCGCTCTTCTTGCTGGCCGAGACGACGTTCCTGTTCGTGATGCAGACGTTGCAACTCTTCATTCTCTTCTCGCAGTTGCTGGCACTGGACCTCCTGATGCTCTAGTCTCAGTGCCAGGCGCTCCACTAGTTCAAGCACTCGAGCTCGTGTCGCCTCCTTGGCATCACACAGCGTGTCCAGAACGGCGACTACCTGGTCCACCACATTCTTACTCTCCGTCCCCATCAGTGCTACAGAAACAGATCAGCGTCATTAACAGCTTCCTCGGTGGTTTGCCGAGACTTATACATTCACCTTCCCAGACAACCCTCTAGATCAGGATTTCACACAAAGACAAAGGGAAAAATCATTGTCGATTTGACTCGATAATTCCAATTATTTATTATTATTTAGTTTTCTGTCTGACGACAGGTCCATATGAACAGGATCCTTCCATCCTTTTCTCGGACTGGGACCTGTTCATATACGTTCTTGGCAGATGATCCAGAAGTGGTTTGCCATTGCCTTCTTCTGTGTGTGAATGGAGTAATTGTTGGGATGCCACGGAGGAAAACTCCGTGTTGCCTAGACCACGGCCTTGCCCAACACAAGTTATAAATTCGGGCACCGCCGGGAATCGAACCCGAGACCCCAGGATTACAAGGCCAGCGTTCTAACCGCTAGACCACCGTGGCTATAATTCCAATTACATTCCCATATTTCAGTCTGTAATTATTATGGAAATAAACAAGCCTTAGAAACTCAGTAGCTCACTTATAATTAAATACATCAGTGGTCTAGCGGTTAGAACGCTGGCCTTGTAATCCTGGGGTCTCGGGTTCGATTCCCGGCGGTGCCCGAATTTATAACTTGTGTTGGGCAAGGCCGTGGTCTAGGCAACACGGAGTTTTCCTCCGTGGCATCCCAACAATTACTCCATTCACACACAGAAGAAGGCAATGGCAAACCACTTCTGGATCATCTGCCAAGAACGTATATGAACAGGTCCCAGTCCGAGAAGAGAAAAGGATGGAAGGATCCTGTTCATATGGACCTGTCGGCATCATCCTGTAAAGGACTGGGAGTCACAAAGTCTTCTCAGGTAATCAGACGCTGTGAGAAACTCCAAGATCTGAACTCGAAACATGTAGAAGGAGTGTGAGTCGGTCGCTGCATTGAAATATTCAGTTCGATACGAGAACTTTAATGACATGTACGTACATTCTCAATGAAATTCAGAAACGAATCAACAGCCTTGCCTGTTTCACCAGCCACGTCTGATGAGCTATCTTCAGTGTCAGTTGAGAGTTCAATTTCAGGGTTATATAGAGTAGGTTCCCCTGATACAGGACCGGCAGTTGTGGCAGTAGTGGCGGCAGTTATATGAGCATTTGGAGCAGGAACTGCTGAACTAGGAGACACTGGGCTCGTAGGGGACTTCTTGGAACACGCCGACTTCTTGTCCACCTCCAGCTCCTCCGTCTTTACCTGCATTTACAACCAGCAACAAAAACATTTTCACAGATCGCGAGAAACTACTGATAGAATCAGGTCAGTCGGCTTCAAGTAACTCTTTGAGGAATAACGTTTAAAGGGCTTTAAAATATTTTTTTTCAAATATAACAAACAGAATATGATAGAGAGAGAGAACTGAAATACTGATCCGAATAAAAGTTCGTGCTGTAGCTATGAAAGGGACAGATATTTCTTATATAAAAAGAATGCACTTACAATGTAAAACTTTTGCACTGGAATGAGTTTTACTGCTTTTAAATTAATGTTCACTGACAGACAGTACATGTCAACAGTAATAAATATCATGTATTGCTATGGAGGAGGGATCAGCTTGCAGTGCGTACTGCATCTCAGTAGGTAATATTAATGATAATGAATAAAAATTAACCCCTAATTAAATTCTAAAGGGTTTCGACGACGGTAGATTAAGCTTAAAATTATTCAGTTTCTGGATATTTTTTCCATCGTCATCTGCTGACAAGACCTGTATCCAGGCTGATATGCCGAGATAGTTGACAGAGCCAGTCTCCAAAACATCGCGGTTTTCCTCTTTTAAAAAAAAATGACGATCGAAAATGTCCAGACAATACATAACTTCAAACTAACTACTAACTCGGAGAACAAATTAGAGTATGTGGAATCACATGACTATTTCATCTGCCAATACGATTCGCAAAGTAAACTGACTTGAAACACGTCACAATCTGCCTCGACGCAGACTCATTACAAGAATTAGAATCTCTGAGATGAAGTTACCAAATCATATCTCACCTACAACTTTCTTACCTCTAATCTGGTTCTGTGATGCTGTGGTATTGGTGCTAGGGCGACGTTCGGCTGGAAACTACGCTCGAATCTCTCAGATTCAGACATGGGCACCACCCTCTCCGGATGCAAGAGAACTGGTGGGCTATGACTCAGGTATGTAGGCACAGGGGTGGGTAAGCTGCAACACGCAAACCTCATTAATCGTTCCATTACTTTTTTTCACGATCATCCTCACAACAGGAGGAGAGAGAACTGTCACGCTAAATGCACAGAGTAACGTGAGGACTGATTTTTCCAAACATCGAGTGATTAACATACCAGCTGCATACTCAGGAGTTCCGAATTATCTGTGGATCTTAGTTTCTGCAGGAAGATGCCGGGATACCGTAATAAAATAGGCCATGGTCGATTCTTAGCACATTATTTCCAATTCACCCTGCCATAATTCATCGCATGAATCTCTTACACAGATATAAAACACATATTTTTTTACATGTGACGATAATCAAAAGCACACACTGATGAGGAATTCATAACTACACCCTTCATCTAATATTATTACGACAATAAGATCGAAGATCACGCTAATGTGCAGACGATGTAGAATGCAGGAGACGAAATAGAAATTTTGTCTGTTCAAATCTTAAAACAGAGTGTGTCATGGCTTCCGAGTACAGAATCCTCTTGATTTACGTCTCCAAACTTTCTCCTAAAAAATTAATTCTGAACTAAAAGTTGCTAATGGTATCACTGAACACCCCCCCAGAAAATAAATGACTGAATTTGGAGCAGTGGTAAAATGATACCGCCTCAGAAAAACTGCGTAACTCACGACGAAAAACAGTCCCAGCAACACTTTGCCCTTCACAAACCCCAATTTACTGACCCACATGCAAAACTGGACAACAAAAGTGAGTTAACAGTCACTAACCACCTGAGCTATGGCATGCACTTGGCAGGTTAGGTTAGACATAAACCGAGTAATCCTAATGTGTCTCTTAATTGAGTTCTAATGTCTTTACATTTTAAGCAACTTGAGGGCAGCACCAGTATATGCTGTTGAACTAACTTTAGAGTAACCAAAAATGTTACGACCAGCCACAAACTCTGAGCTGTTACCCTTCAAAAGGGCAAACACTTACTTGTAACATTTAACCTCTGCTACGTGACGAAATCAGTACACAGACTACGAGCCCCTTTTCAATTAAACACTGAACACATGCACCTGACTATAAGAAATCTGAACATGTACACTGACTTAACCCTTTGAAGCCGAAGATCGTCTGAATATTATTTATGAATTCAGTCCGTACCGCGAAGAAAACCCTACACCCCACCATTACGAAAATCAGCTGGTTAACCCTCTGAAGCCGAAGCTCGTCTAAGTAACATTTAATATAATTCAGTCCGTACCGCGAAGAAAACCCTACACCCCACCATTACGAAAATCAGCTGGTTAACCCTCTGAAGCCGAAGCTCGTCTAAGTAACATTTAATATAATTCAGTCCGTACCGCGAAGAAAACCCTACACCCCACCATTACGAAAATCAGCTGGTTAACCCTCTGAAGCCGAAGCTCGTCTAAGTAACATTTAATATAATTCAGTCCGTACCGCGAAGAAAACCCTTCACTTAACCATTAGAAGTCGAATCAGGCGGTACCACATAAGATTTAACATCCCGGTCAAAGCCTTAACAGAATGTACTGGGATTTGAAGCTGATTCCCTTCGTATTGCGGAATTAATCCATCAAGTTAACAGGAAAATTGTCATGAATGATTAATACATAAGGATTTCGAAGGCACTGGCCTATATTAAGGTATTATTAGGACGTGAGAACCACAAGGTTAGTCTGGAATCTGTCATAAATTTGAAAAGAAGAAAAAAAAAGGTATCTCTTGAACAATTACAACTTTTTCTTACCTGTCCCTCGTGATGGGTGGTGGCTGCCCTTTAACCTCCTTGGTAAGAAGGGAGGGCCAAGGCCTGAATGCAGACATGCGCGCCCAGGATTCATACCAAAGAATGTGATTACTCGGCTCTGACATGGGATATAAGTAAGCACTGTAAGCATCCAGTCCAACTTCCAATTTTGGTTTCTTCAATACTTGAAGTTCCGAGACTTCCTTGGAATCAGACTCGTGGTGTTGAACCTGCAGGAATTAAACAGTTTAAATTATGACTCTTAAATTTGGAAAAAATTCACGACGGTAAGTATTAAGATGGCTGTCTTCTGGGTTATAGCTCGGTGTAGTCTGGTAGAAGTCTACCGATGTTTCAGAGGTGGTTACTGCTTCCATCATCAGGGCATCAACCCAGAAGACAGCCTTCTTTTTCGTGAGACGTGTTCTTTGTGTCCTGAACAAATGTCAAACGCGAGTGTGACCCTTTGAAGCCGAAGCTCGTCTAAGTAACATTTAATATAATTCAGTCCGTACCGCGAAGAAAACACTGCACTTCACCATTACAAAGATCAACCGAGTAGGATCTGAGGTTTTCAAGGCGGTGAGTCCGAAGATGGCTGACTTCTGGGTTGTAGCGCCGTGTAGCCTGGTAGAAGTTTACAATTTCAGAGGTCCTTGCTGCCTCCATCATCAGGGCGATGAGTGTCCAGTCTACCAGACTACACAGTGCAATAACCCAGAAGAGACTCCGTCTTCTGAAATTTGTCTTTCACAACTCTGTAGTCAAATTCTATTGGACTGTAGGTTCAATATCCAATCCAATACAATTTTCGTAAATAAAGCTTCACAGTCGAAAAGTAAAAATCACTCACTGTTTTACATCAATTATTGCTTGGCATCTAAATTGTGTGTAATTTAATCCTCCCCAAAAGCAAATCCCTTATTTACAAATAAAAAATCAGCAAATATTATCTGTAACAGCTGTAAGCCCATCACATCTCACGTATTCACATTCTCTCAAATTTTGATGGGTTATGTTTGAACATATTAATCGTTCTCTTCTCTTTACCTTCTTTCTTTCCTTCTTCCTTCCATTAATGACAAGATCCTTGAGAAGTTTGGAACTTACTCACTTGGTTTACGGTATGATGTTCCCGCCTTTGTGGCAACCTTGGCCCATCATTCCAAACAAAAGAACATCTATTAAAAGCGGGGAACCCAATCTACTGAGCGCAGCGGAGTTCACGTCTCCATGAATACGCGTGCAACGGTGTGACCATAACCCTTCCATCCTCCGTCTACTCTTCTGAACACACACGAGTTATATTTATAGAAAAGGACGGTTGTTTACCAAGCCACGAGTTCGCTGTTAGAATACAAATGTTGCTAAACGCGAAAAGGGTAAACCAGGGGTCAAGGCCGGCAGGTATAAGGCTAGACGCACTAAAACACAGTTCAAAAGCTGTCTGAATAATTAAATTCGGGATCCTACAGTCCCAAAACAACAACTATTTTACATAAAACTCGACCCAAATATAACCAGTTCAAAAAAAAAAAAGAGGTTGAGTCTGTCTACACAACAATTTTTTTATTATATTTTCAATAAGATAGTGTAATTGCGTCATATTGTGAATATTATATCAATTATTTATTTTAATTCCGTCTGATCACAATATAATTTTTATTTAAAATTTCTTATAATTAAGATAATAAAATATCATTCATGTTCCATATCGATTGATCGATTTACATTTCGGAACATTTACACAACATGTTTCGGTTTTAAATAAAAATTATATTGTGATCAGACGGATTAAAATAAATAATTGATATATTTTCAATGTTAAACTGCAGATTTCCACCGGTAGCTACATCCACACAGTCCACTCTGATAAAATACGATGCCTAAGACAGTCCATCACGTGGCGAAGTCAACAACAGAAAATACGTATACAATTTATCAGTCATATCGATTAGTTTCCAACACTTAAAGAGACCCACCTGAAGATGACCAATTAAGGTCGAAACATTCAATTAAACACTGAAACTATACTCAAAATTCTAAATAACCTATGTAACTGATTCAGCGTCGTTCCTACGAAACAATGGGAAACGCCTTTAACTCTCGCCTTCTGAATAATGGTCTTACAGCGTCACAATCCAACAAATTGCCGTGCCGTAGCGGCAACTTCTCCGACACGGCTGAGTAGCGGGTTGCGCGACTTATCGGAAGGGGAATCCCATCCGGACCGAATTACTTTACTGATTGGTCTTGAGAAACAGCTTCAACACGTTCCTTCAATTTTTACATTCTATTGAGCAAACCCACCCATAAAAATTAATAGTACCTAAACTAGACAATGACTTCAACGGCTTTTATGGAACCCTAAGGTCCGTTACATGAGAAACCGCCACTGACACTGCTGGACCGGATAAATTCACTTCACGCCTTGTCACCTCACTGGTAAAATCGTATCAAGAGCTCCAAATCCATCATTAAAATGAGATAGCATTATAAAGAACGCCCAAAAAAAAATATTTAAGAACACACAAGGTTTATATTTCGTTACACATTGGGACAATTCTCGAACTGTTAAAAATAATCGTAAATTTTGAAAATCCTGGAGACCAATGTAATAGGAACCAACAATAACGGGACAATCCCGCAAAACTTGTGACGTAAGGTCCTCATGTCCATTGGTTAAGGTTGCGTTTTAAAACACAGAATGTCCCTAGAAGACGGATATACACATTCCACGAATCAAATAAAGACATTTCGATACATACGTCAGCATTGGCACTTTTAAAATTACCAAATCTAGCGTAGGTGTTCAAAACGACCACCGTCAGCTTCGTGGCTGTGACCAACTGACTGACATGCTGCCACCGTATTAAAATGCGTATACATATTTTTGGAACACCCTGTACAACACCGTACTAACAACTTCTTCTTATTCTCCTACATTATTCAAATAAGAAGTGAAATTCCACAAATTCTTAACCTCTTCAGTTGATACAAGGGAAGGAGAGAGCCCCAGAGTAAGTCCTAAACGTGTCAGCAAAGAAGATGACCTCTCCCTGCACGGAATCGAACCCCGGCCAATCAACTGACTGCCCGGTCTAATTCAGATTCGGACCTCAGCCAGCAGACCGCCTCGTCGTCTACATGATTGATGCATCCCACATCCGACGCTCCTCGGCTCCATTCACAGGGAGAAGACGAGCGTTGTTGCCATGGCGATATCCCCACCCCTTCACCCAGCAGTGAATGAACCAAAAGTCTGCCGGCGCCGAGAATGGAGACGCCCTTGTTCCGTTAAAGAGACGCCAAGGTTTCCCTCTCCCCCGCGATCTCCGGGCTCCCGCTCGTCCAGAGGCGGACGAGTGGCGGAATTATTCCACGGGTGGCCACGTGCCATCAACTGACAAGCAAAACAATCAGTTAACTCACCGAACAACTAAACTACAAACTGATTAACCAGATGAATTATCCGAATGACCCAGCCCACAAAAAAACAACTTATTAATTAAATTACTGTAAGACTTGTCAACTGTTATCACCATCGTGTAGCCACGGTGGTCTAGCGGTTACAACGCTGGCCTTGTAATCCTGGGGGGGGGGGGGGGGGGGGGGGGGGGGGCGCGGGGGCGGG